CTGCGAATCGTGTGGCAAGATTTATGGTTATAGTGTAATGATGATCAATTTGTGATTCTGTTGTCATAATATGTGTAAATGCGTGTTACTTTTTTGTGAGTCATTGTAGCTTTTTTTGTTTGTTTTGTAATTACTTCTTTCGTATTTTTTTTTTTTAAAACAGAGTTCGTTTTGCGGTAGAGGTTTGGTGCTGGATAGCAACTATGGGCTCAGCATCTTTGCTCGCGCCTGGTGGCGGCGCGCTGGGTAGGTTGCCACGTTACGTATTTTTGACGTATATTGTTGCAGTGTTTCTTTTGCTTTTAGTAGGCGCGGTGTTCGATCTGTCAGGCTGTTTGCATGGTCCGTTGCCTCGTCGGAGTAGTTCAGCGTTGGCCTGCGCCGGGCTGCATTTGGTTCCGTTTGTTTTGAGCATTCCCCACTGACTCTTGTGGGGGGAGCGAGGTTAAGTAATATTATGTATGTTTCACTGGTGAGTTTGAAGGTCTGAGCGAATTAATAATTTATTTTGCAGATAGTGTGAATTTGTGGTTGTGTGATATGCCGAATGGATTGAAGTTTTTGGTGCTATTAAGGTTGCGATGTTATATCGTGTTCATCGTAAGGTCAGTTGTAAGTTTGTTTTTAGAGTGAGTAGTAATATTTGTTAGTAATTATATTGGGCATGTACGTGTTAGCTGGGTCACTGGATTTTAGTGCTTCACAAATTGATATAATATCAATCTTCTTATGGTTGTATGAGTGGTAGTGTGTGTTTCGCAGTAATTGTTAGCTGATGATGTATTTGAGGGTAGTTTTGTTATTCTTTTTCGGTATACAGAAACAAGTTTGAGGATTGTGTATGTTTGGTCGAAGCCACTAAGTATAATCGCTAGGCTTTACTTTATGTTGGCCATGTGAATTGTTTGGAGGTTCGGTTTAAGTGGGAGAGGTGTGGCAGTGCCGATGGAGTCAGTTCCTGGCAAGTGAGGATCGAGTTGCCTGTAGTTTCGTAGACCTGTGCGTATATGTATTTTAAAGATTATTTTTTTTCAGTGGAATTGTGATTCTATGTATGGGTTATTTGTGTTTTTTTTTTTTTTTGTTTTGATGTTG